AGTGGCCTATGGATGAGTTTCCTTCTAGACATCTGCCCAAAGACAGACCAGGCTATACGTGTTTGGTCCTCGCAGCCACTAAAGCATGAAAAGCAACACTCTCAAGCCCATTGACTTCACCGAGTTCCTCTTTTCAAGCACCATTCACAGTTTTGGTGTGCTTCTCAGGATGAGTGAACAGCTGAAATGTGACATACAGACGCTTGCTTGGAGACATGTTTGAAGAGAAAAGGTAATCAGATCTAACGATGATTAGCAAGACACATGATGGAAAAGCAAGATGACAGCACTTAATCCTAACTGACAAGTGGTAAAAAAGCACCAAATGGGACTTTGTGCAGTGGGTATGGTGCCATAAAGAAAGAGGTGCTCAGGGCAGACATTCTGAATTCAGTGACATCAGAAATATTCACCTTACAGCCACTTCCACCTTGACACACGACAGTATTCAGAAGCTTGACGTGCACAGGTCTGCACAGGACAACCACTAAAGGGGCTGTATTGCTCATCAGCAATTGCCCAAACACATACAAGGGGATGAGCACAACGTACCTTCTGTCAACTCCCAAGCAGATAAATCTACAGACAGAGAGCACACACCCCTGAACTGCAAAAAAGCATTCTTACCGCTTCCAGCTCCTTTTGGGTTTCATCCTCCATTCTCCTAATGTCTTCCATGGTCAGGTCAATCCACTTGTCAATCCAACAGAACAGCTGGCGATGGAAGTTGGTAAATATCCTTTTTTCTTGCTTTAAGAAGATAAACAAGCATTAGATAACAGGCCTCATTTTGCCAAAGCCTGCTGAAGTGACTGCAGCTGCTCCATGGGAAAGGCTCTAATCCTCAGGAGTAGCTCCCTCCCACTGCCCAGGCTCAGGCTCCTCCAGCGCTGGACCCACAGACCCACTTGCCCACCAATGCCCAGCAAGGCAGCGCTCACCTTCTGAATGAAGTTTTCCACTTTGTTCTGCAGTCCCCACCATTTAAATTTGATAGTCACCAGCTTATAAGCACACATTTTTGGACACTCTTCATCAGCTGCCAGCTCCTTCTGCTCAGGGATAATGGGAAGGAACCTTCAATTTTTTAAAGTTTTTACTTCAGTCAAATTAAATATAATTATTAGAATTTTTAAGTATTACAGTAGAATTCTGAACCATATTATTAATTCATAGTATATTTAAAAAATTATCATACTATAATTATAAATGAGGTAGAAAGAGCATTACAACAACAGGAGGTGGAATACAAGCCTCCCCTCATCGTCACCTTTAAACACACAATGTGCTCATTCTTCCATGAGACTCAGCTAATGCTCAGGCCCAGGACAAACCCATCAGCCAGACCAAAGGTCTACCTGCCTCAGCATTCAACAGCAGCGAACGGCCAAAACCCATGTGAAAATATCAAACCCAAGGAAGACAATCTTGGTAATTCATGTACAAACTCTACCAACCTCCATCTTTTTAGAAGCTGTGAAACTCTGTGCAGCAGAACTACTTTCTGTCCTTGGACACACAGAAGGAAGAACTAAGGCCGTGTAGGTAAGTGTAGATTGCAAAATCAGGGCACTGTCGAGGGTGGAGGGGACATTCCCTGACCCCTGGCGGAGGAGCCTGTTCCAGTGTTTGACCATCCCCACAGCAAAAACAGTGTTTTCTGGTGTTCAGGTGGAATTTCACATTATTTCTGTGTCTATACAAAGGTGGCGCATCTTCTGCCTACTGCTTGCACAACCACATTTTAGGACAGGGAGTTTGAGAGCTTGCTGGTGCGACACCTCCTCCTTTAAGATCTGATGCTTATCTTGCTGCTTTGCAAAAAGTAGTGGTATCTAAATTGTGACATCTAAATAACGAACTAGAAGAAAATTCACACCTCTCAGTAAGCCCTTCACACTGTATTTTGACAGAAACATTCATGCTGTATTTAGAACTTGTTTGGGAAATCAAAGACTGAACGTGTTTACAAGAAAATTTAAGAAAGAGGGGCACCATTTGAAATGCGTTCAAACCCCCTCAGCACTTCAGTGTAATTCATCACAGCACACACTAAACACAAGTAAAATTATGCTACTGTCAATGACATTTCACTTACAGTAAAGAAAAAAGTGACAACTTATATTCTAATTGGTAACTAGGGGCCTGTTCCTGACAGGCTGTATCCATTCTGTGTATCCGCTGCAGCAAACGGCAGCTTGCTTCTCAGTTTCTATGAGGTTATATGGTGTAACAGAGCAAGTGTACTTGGCTTTAGCAGAGACATTGAACAAGCAGCAGACAGGACCTTTGCTTACTAACACATTTGGAATTTTCACTCAATACAAAGAAGAAAAGTATTCAATTTCTGCTCTCTCTTCTAAGACTAACTTTGCTGGTGCTACAGTTCTCTAAGGAACTGTGAGCTTCTTTTTTTCTGCTGATAGACTTTGTAACGTCAGCTCTTAGTACCTTCCAGTTTGGCCCCAAAGGTCCTCTCTTCGTTTTAACTGACTGGAATAACGCAGGGTCTTCATCAGCTTTGTAGTCCTGTAACATAAAAAAAACCCCACAAGAGTCAGAAAAAACCCCAACCCCACTCTATTAGGGTTCTGTTCAAGACTAACAGATTTTTGCAAACACTGTAACCCCCCCCCCCCCCCCATGTTATCTACAAGTAAAATGTGTAAGTGAAAACAAAAAAATCCAAACAAAATAGATGAGTCGTGGTAAAGTTTCCTATGCTAGAGCCCACATACAGAAGCATTGAAGCAAGACCTGTCAGGACTCAGTTAAACCAAATCCTGTTACAGATATTAAACACCCCCATCACTACCCCCATCTAAATGAACGTCCGGATGGACAAGAGAGCATTGTAGGAACTCTTCTCAATGCACAAACCCTACCAGCATGTGAGGAAGACGACTGGACTAGAGCCAAAGTACAAATAAACAACAGTTCTTTGCAGAGTTTAAGGAAAATATCAGTGCAGTGAGAGCTTAACTCCTGACAGCAGCAAGTCCTTCTTAGGAAGAAAAACAGGCAGCTGTTGGAACAAATATTACAGCTAAAAAACCCTGAAGCCCTCTTGAAAGCCAGACAGGCAAAACATGATTATGCAGCAGCATAACAATATAGAGGAGCTAAAAGCCATTTCAAAGAAATACACAAATATCATTTCATAGGCAGTTTCTGCTCAAAATCTCAATATAATATGCATGAATGCAACAAACTGTCCTAAAGAATTATTGAGAGACTGTGAACCACACACGATAAAGTAACGATCACAACAAACCCAGGGCCTGGGTGCTTCTTTACAATTCTCATTCTCATTTATGAGACCTGCTACAAGTAATAACAGCACTCCTGATAGCTCATAGTTCACTCTACCAAGCAGCATGAAGCTTGAAAGCATATACACAGGACAGAATGACTGTAAGATTTTTAGAACCTAACATTAAAATGATGCAAGTCTGATGCTTTATCTGCAAATTCCTGAGAAAAGCTTCTTGAACACTGAGTGGTGCAAGACTCAGGACGTGGGGACACAGCTTCTGGCTTTTCAACTCAGCAACATGTGAGGTTTTAAACAGGAGAACACCCAAACTGTCAGTCAGCAGAAAACACTGTGTCCAAAACAGGAGAGACCCACCTCCAGAAAGCAGCTCTTCCACACAAGAATCTTTTAAGACTCTTTTGCAGACTACAAAAGAGGAGCATTTCCTATATTCCAACGATGGAACAAGGGATAGTACTTACTGCACAGCACATAGAAATCCTGTCTCTTAGGGCATTAAGTAACTTCGCTGATTTGTATAAAACTGTATTTTTAGAACATTGTTTCAAGTAACATAATGGAGACCCGCCACAACCCAGAAAAAGCCATTTCATTTCTTCATTGTACAAAAATAGCTATAAACCTGATTTCAACGTCTTCGTTTTCACCACGCTCTACTTTCTTACAAATTGTTTCCAAAAACGTAGCCTCTCCTGATGTTAACTCAGTGTTCACTTCTGCTTACTCTTGAAAAAGTTACTCTCCTGGGAAGTGATTTTTATATACAAATCACACAAAATTACAGAGATTGGATGCTGGAGATGATTAAGAGAGGGCAGGGTTAAATTTATATCTGAAGAAAGCCACAGATGTCAGCCAATTTCTTTCTATACATACTTCAATGAGCACAAGTCAGCATATGCATGCCATTACTATCTTAAAGAAATTTACTATCTTTATATTTACGCTGATTGTAGTTCTGAAACTACACTAACTGCTGCACTACAATGGGTTGGACAAGGTTCATTCTCTGAACAAAAACATAAATCTGGAATATATGAAAACTTTTATCAAAATTGATGGGTCTTATAAATGTAGTTCCATTCTTTCAGCCATACTGTTATCCAAGACAGTGCATCTGAGCTGCTTTTCCAGGCAAAACTACGACTGAGAAAAAAAATGTACAAACAAAACTTACCTTTAGCAACACTGACTATCCTTTTCCCTAAAAAAAAAAAATAAATGAGGGCACCAAGAAACCTATCAGCCACTTAAAATAACTGCCAAACCACAAGCACAGTTACAAGCAAAACGTGCCTGAATTCAGAAACTACCCGACAGAGTGAACCAGTGACTGCTCCACTATCACTGAACAAAGACACTGTATGTCTGGACAAACAGAAGACATGGAAAACAGTTGATGCTTTCATAGGGGACAGTTACTTTCCAAAACCAGTTGCCTTCTCTGAAGGCATAAAGCGAGACTGCAGATCCAGGACATAGCTGGACTTCCAAAAACAAAATTCCTCACGTTCCATTACCTAAACTCTACAATGACACTAGCTTAAATGGAGACTCTCTCTCATGGAGTCACAAGCACTGAGAGAAAACAAAGGCCAGAAACTGCAAATCCTCATAAGAGACTTCAAGAGTGGGTCCCAGAGAATTGTCTAATCCCCAAGTGTCCAGGAAAGGGGCAGAGCAGTGGGGTGGGAAGGGAACCAGTCCTACAGGTCACTCAGAGTTACTAATGGCTGCACAGGAGTTTGGGTACAAAGTCAGTCTTTGTTTAATGAAGTCAAACATTCTAGCAAAACTGAGTTTCTGGGAGATGAAATGGAAATGAAGGTTTGAATCACATGGTCAAAGCGAGTCCCAAGTATTCCTACACAACGATGGGCTCTACCGTGAGCTTGGATTTCGAAGTGTCTGCTCAAAATACTTGCTACAAGTAAAATGGTTTTGGAAGTTACCAAAAAAGAAAGAGAATGTAGAAACATCAGAAGACATGTAAGGGCCTGGATTAAGCCACTCTGCATTCACAGATGTGATACCCTAAGTCAAATATACAATAGGAAATAATTAAAAAAAAAAAAAGGAATTTCACTGCTAGAGGATAATGGCCTGAAAATCATTCCAAGGATTTCCACACATGAAATGTCTAATAAACAGAACAGGCCAGGTATAATCACAAGCTCTGGAAGTTCTTTAAGTACAGATTGATCTTTCAGAGATACGCATCTCCCAGCTCTTAATACATACTCCCATGAGTATCTGCTACTGGCCACTAACAGGATACTGGGTTAGATGAATCTTTGTCCAGAGCCAAAAATATAACTTCTTTTAGAACAGCACCATCTGTCAGTCTTCAGTACAAAGGAGATGTGGAAGGTGGGCCAAGGAACAGTGCAGGAGGGTGCAGCACGGGCAGTGCTGTTCACTAACAGTACCTCAAGCACAACAAATACTTGGGTTCAAAGCACAGCAATAAGCATGACCCTTTGTTTACACGTACTGTGATCAAGCAAGCTCGGACAGGGGACAGCACTGGAGCCGTCTGCCACAATTCCAGGCATGGAATAGTGAATGCACATTTATTTACCTGCCAGTTCAGCTCTAAGGTCATAAGGAATGTCCGAAAGAACAAGGGGCAGCAAAACGATGCACTGCATTAAAATAGGCAAGACATTTAATTTGGTTCACAGGGAGGATCTCCATACGAGGTATTGTCACACATGTAAATCCACAGACCATCTGGTAAACATTGGCTAAGCCACAGTGCAGGTTATACACCTACACTAGTAATTCAAGTAGAAATTTAGGAAGCACAAACCTTTCCCTTCACACACCCTAGCCTTTCCTGTGCTTCCCTGCAAAGGAGTCCTCTCTCCACAGCACAGAATATCCAAGTATTTATTTTCAGAAAATAACAATTAAATAGTGTAAAGAATGTCTCCTTGCACAAAACCAAGACAATCAAATTTACTGTGCAAACACAAATTGCTAGTGTCGATATTGGTGCAACCGTTCTCCTACCACCCCAAAATTAATGATTACTTACAGAACAGTCCAGCTGTTACAACTAAACAGCCCAGACAACAACCCCAGTAGACAGAGATGCGTAGAAAGCAACAGCAGTAAAACCAAGGAAGTAAGGCAGCCACAGAAGTACAGTGAGGTTGCCCTCTAAAGCTGCGTGAACCAGCATCTAAAATCAACATATTTGACCTTCTTAGATTAACCATACACACTAGAGAACACCTGAACATGCCTCGGCCACATGCACTGGCAGCCCAGACCCGCCCCATGTTCTGGGCTGCAAACCCAGAGTCTGAGCAGCAGCTCAGGGAGGGGATCCTGTCCCTCTACTGTGCTCCGGGGAGACCCCCGCTGCAGCCCTGATCCAGCTCTGGGGCAACAGCACAAGGAGCTGCTGCAGCGAGTCCAGAGGAGGCCACTCTCTGGTCAAATTCACGAGACAGAACTGTAAATGCATTTACCAAGTGTGGAACTTTGGAATGAATGACTCTATCCAAGATGATTTTCATTCATCTGCTGGCTAAAATCACTACCGTTTCAGTTTACTCACAATCAGCAAAAAGCATGGATGGGATTAGCTACATCCCTATCCCAATAGCAGAGCATTTACTTACTCCTGGCTCTACTTGAGTTCTATCTGCAATGTCGATGTGGACAACTTCAACCGTCTTCCATGTGTTTGGATCTAAATTGTGCACCTGCAAGAAGGGAAAAAGGGATGTTTTCTGTACCATCACTTTACACAATGGTGTACCTGAAGCAGTATGGATGCGTGCCATGGATTCTTTTCCAGACTTCATAAAGGCAGTGTTCTCAAAACCTTTCCTTTCTTCCCCTGCCTTTCTAAAAAGGAACACTGACGCAGCTTCAATACCTAACTCTACAGAAGCGTATACAGATAAATGCCAACAGCCTTGTGAAACAAACAACTTACCAGCCTAAGTAGCACTACCACGCCTCTGGTAAAAGAACATGAAATTAAAAAGAACTTACTGAAAATCTACTTAAGCATTTGAGTGACCTCAATATAAAAAAATAAAACCCTTCTCTTGTTGCACCTCTTTAGGTGAGACCTAAAAAAGATTTAACTAAGGCTGTTCTTGTTTTACATTAACCACTGCTAAGGCTTTGACTTTATGCAGTAGTTACCCACCATTACCAGGTATACAGTACATTACCTGAATGACTCTATGTTGAAAACATTACTCATGCTTGGTATCCAAATCCCAACTCACGTTTTCTGATGTCCCCAGATCTGGTTTATGCCAGGTCTCAATTTTTATGAAGAAGTCGTCTTTCATGTATTCATTCTGTAACAATTACAATTAAAAAACGTAAGTGTGGTTACATCTCTCTGCTTAAAGTGTAGATCAATGGTATTTACATATAAGCCACTACTAAGCCTTGACTAGCAACACGTTCTGTTTAAATAATAGAATAATTTCCAAATTATTAAGACAGTTAAAAAAACTAAAATACATTTCCATGAAATTTTGAATGACACAAGGGCAGAGGAAACAGCCAACAAACCTTCCATGTTACTGTACTACACAATCATGATCGTGAAGGCCCAACTACCACTAAGTTGTGTTTCTGAAGACTAGCACAAGCCACTTCTCATGTCAGAAGAAAGCATACACCAGTGTGCACCTGTACCACGATGAGTCAAGCTTAACAGTTCACAAACTCATCTGTTGCACCCACCTAGTGACAATCTAAATTGAGTTTGCAAGTGAGCAGATAAAGCAATCTAACACGAAACTTACAAGCTTCCTTGAACACAGCACTGAAATACATACACAGGGAAATAAAGTCTCAATGATCTCCTTTCCAGGTATCTTAAAACCCCAAAAAACCCAAACCCCAGATATGACAACCCATTTAGATTCTCAATCGACCTGTTCTAACTGAGGCTGGATTTCACTTTGCCGAAATGGGATTTCGGAGACTAATTTTATTTCATTGCTCTTCCTGCATTCAAGAGTGTAGAAACCTCTGAACTGGCCATTTTTTTCCCCCTTGTTTAGTATTATGTCTTACAGAACAGACATTATGCAGCTGCAATGGCACGTAAAGGCATAAAGGAAGATGTAAAAAACGAAAGCCTTTCTCTGACAAATTACAGTTTTCTCTAATTATAGCCATGTGCAGACAAATAAAGTAACAAGAAGCTCTATGCCAGAGACCCTGGCAATGCATCCAGGAAAGGTTAGAGCTTGCTTGCTAGACTCGGAGTCAACTGTAGCAGGAGTAACAGAGAAAATACATTCCACAAAGAACCCCCATAGGACTAACAGTAATTCGGATACTCACTGTCACAACTGGCCATTGGAAACACACGCAATGAAAATGAAAAGGAAACAAAGTATTATTAGATGCAATTCTTTCTGAAAAGTCTCACATATAATGATTGCTTCACAGTACAAGAATCATCCCAAATCAGTCTAGCAGCAGAGTCGGCAGAGTTCAGCAGACTTTGACTTGCTCGCCTTAACCTTTAAAGTTCATTGTAAGGTACTTCAAACTATTCAACAGGAACAGAAAAGAAATGGAGCCTTCTCCTAGAACTTACGCAATCAAAAGAATTAAAATAAAGCAGTTGCCTTATTCTAACAGGCTACGAGGAATTAAACTCTTCTGAAACAGGCTCTGCTCTAGCCCATAAGAGAATCACCTCTTTAGTCTTATCCCAGGGACACAGGATGCAAAGGCTCTGCAGGGAGCAGCAAACTGGTCCCCCGAGGCTGCTCTCCAGAAGCAGCTCTCCTCTTCAGAGAAGATCTCACAAACACAACATTAACATTTTAAACGTATTTTCCACTTGATGGTACCCCCTTTTCTCTTCAACCCTTTAAGACCATCCCTCGACTGAACACTGATAGCAAAACACACAATGGGAGACCTACTTGTTCTACAGTAGGGATATGCGTTCCAAGCCTTCTCGTGGAAAACCAGGGAGCCTTCTGGAGCAATCATCCTCACAAAGCCAGGAACTTTACTGTGAAAAACAACGTTTCAGAAATGTTGGCCAGCTGAAATTCCTCATTGATTTCTTCCACTCTAGTAACAAAGGCAGATTTTATCTAACCACTGTCAAGGTTATGATGGACAAGTTACCCACAGTTAAATATGCAGGAACCCCAACAACGTTACTGAGCTTGCTTTCCTCTCCAGGAACAGCAGATAACTGCTGGGGGAGAGCTCTGCTCCAGCAGAACTGCAAGCTCAGCAGTGACCAAGCCTGTAACCCAGCTGCCCCACAGCCTGGAGGGAAGGGCTCAGGGACTTCAGCTGTGCCTGAGGAGGAAAACTGCAGCTCACCCCAGGCAGCAGAATCACCATCTCTGGTAGCTGCCCTCTAGTCCACAGAGCACCACAGGAGCAAAAAAACTGGATGCTTGGGGAAAACAGTACCAAAAGCTGGTACAGATCAGACATTTCACATGGTTCTCCATTACTCTACCCCACACACTTCAAACCCACTGTATCTCACATGTCACTCACCAGAGCATTCATGCTCAATTCAGCACATTACACAGAGGTAGGAAAGCGCAAGTCCCCACCCCAGAGCAGGGAACACCAGGAGGCTGCCCTGGCTTTTAGCATTCCCTGCTCAACACCAGGTGACCACAACATGTACCAAAGTTGTCCTCACCTCTTTAAATGATAGATTTTGTGCGTATATTGCCCCTTCTCGCCATCCTTCTCATAAGGCTCATTTTTCAAGACTTGAATTCCTTCACCACCTCCCGTTTCATTTTTGCTTGCTTCTGCCACAGAATAAAGTTGCCCAACTTGATACTGAAAAGTTAAAAGAAGTAAAATTTCGATATTAAAGTTAACCAAAACTTCTAATGCATTAAAAAAATAGGTATTTCCTGTGAAAATTTAGTAGAATAAGATTATCATTAAAGTAAAATATACCATATAAAAATATTTAGTAAAATATGACAATCTGCTGACAAAATGTGAACTACAGATACAGCACCAGGTCTGTGATCAGCCATTTCACATCAATGTCATGCTATGGTGGAGCATAACAAACACTTTATTCTTCATTTTTCATAGCCTAAAAGCAAAGCGTATATGCTGTTCTTAATTGTATAAAAGAAATGTAACTTTCAGTTTACAGATGGTGAAATAACTGATTTCCAGCTCCGAGCCTCCCAAATTCATACTTTTAACCGAATAGATTGGCCCTCGCAGGACCCATAAAGTGTGAACTGCAGAAGGCACGAGCACCCTGCTTTCCCTCAGAAGCACGTTCAGACATCCCATCGTGACTTCCATTTAAGTGTACCTCAGTGCCATTTAAACTGTTGGATTGAGATCTTGGAAGACGATTCCTACTTTTGCCTTTAGGAAAAGGACTGGAGTCACTCAATACCTTGACTGGCAGGAAAATTCTGCTGCACAACTTTTCCTTCCTTGCTTGTAAGCATGGAGTGGCTCAGAAACAACTAAAGGTTCGTTGTGTGCAGGCCTTTGCCTCCTTTGGAATTCACTGATCTACAAGAGGTTAACTCTGCTTGACTGGTGGCTTACACGTGGTGTAACTTTCCTGTGGCAGGCTGGTGGGTCACAGCACAGGGAAAACTGGGATCCAGACCAGTTAGATTTAAATGAGACACTAACACTGTCCCCCCCATCACCCCAGAGCAAAAGCAAGCAGGATGAGGACGTACCTCTTGCACTGAGCAAGGTAAAACCACTCGGCTGAAAGAAGAAAAGAACAGATTCAACAAAAGTAACAACCAGGCTTCATCAGCAGGTAACATATAAACTGTAAGGAAGACACTCAAGAAGAGAGGGTCAGAATGAGTTCATTCAAGTTTTCTTTCTCGAAATGCTAGGAGCCAGGAAGGCTGCATGGATACAATGCAACAAACCCAAGCAAAATCCAAGACAAAGGTGTTACAAAAGGAAAAAAGTGGTTAAGAACATTAGAAGCTGCAGAGAAGGGCCACAAAATCTAGAATCTGCTTCCAGATCTACCATAACTTTGTACTGGGCTGAATGTGTTCAAACTCTGAGGCATGAGCTTCTGTCACAGTTACACCACGAGCGGTCCCATCCATGCAATAGAACAGGACAAACCCTCAGAGCCTACTAATGAATTTGGGCAATTACAGCAGTCACGAACCACCTAAGAAGGAACCACAGCTCGCACCCTTTCAGGTGGCAGGAGCAAGTGCATTTGAGGTGAGCAGCTCGGTTGTAACACAACTTGCTGTGCAGGCAGCAGCGGCCCCGGGGATGCAGAGCTGGTTTTCACAGAACCCTGCACCGACAGAGCCTCTCAGCTTCACCTTTCCTAACAAACAGACAAAGATGATGTAAATCATAATTGTGGCAAAACAACATCACAGAACAACTGCATTGTTCTAGGGCCGAGAGTGACGTTACCTCCTTGACGGACAACCTGATGGCCATTAAAACTCAATCATCCCGAAAGCGCGAATATAACCTGAGCCTGTCCATGATGAGAACTTACTGGGCATACACAGCCCACTGTCAGCTCGCAGGAAACGCAAGACAGACACAGATACACACACAGACAGACACACAGACAGACACACAGCTTCTCCTACAAGGACTGGCGTGACCTCTTGCTCCAAGACAAGTGGGACACATGGTCCCATACATGGCGCTGTGGACACAGCACCAGTACCTCAGCCCTGCCCAACTACACCAGCTCTCTGAAGATCAAGAAAATCCGTGAAGTATCCTTGGAAGTCTGTTTGGAACCTAACATACATCTGCTACTACCTACTGTTCCGAACCTACGCATCACCTTTACTGCCACAGCAGAGGCCGCAAGTTACCCGACTCTGAGGTGGTTTAAAGCCAAAGGAGCAAGAGGGGGGAACACACCACCTGGTGGTTTGCTGACAGAAGACCTTACAGGAAAGGTCCACGGAGCTCCTGGCACCACCAGGAGAGGAAGCGGCAGAGCAACGAAGGGCACAGGCACCACTCCACCAGTGCCGCTCCAGTCCCTTCCTAAGCACAACGGGGTCCTGA